TGTCCCTAGAATTTAAATTTATTGGCTTTTAGAATTATGGCTTTCAAATAATAACTTTAAACATGTAACCAAGTACCCCTTTGAAATATTTTATTTGGAACGTATACAGTGGGCACTGCTACGGTAGTATAATAACTGATCACTCATCTTTTTTGGCTCTATCACAACTACCAATTAATCGATTGTGAACGTATTACCCTTCTTTTCCGCTCCCTCGAAATATTATTATTATATATACAATTATTCATTCATTAATAACAGCCTTTCAAAAGTCTACTGATGAACATAGTTCTTTTCCATATATTGCCTCAGGAGTCAAAGTTCCCTCTTTAAGCAAATGGGTTGGCATCCGCAATTTTTTATTGCTTTGAGTTGTTATCGGGAAGATACTGCTGCCTATATCCTGTTTCATTCCCCTCTATCGCCTTTTACGGTACACACGGGATGGCGTGCCGTCTTAGAGTTTCTAAGTAATGTTTTAAAAAAATGATATATATCCTTTAGTAGGATGTAGTGGGTTATCTTACGCCGCCGCTACACGGCGTTATCAATCCTGCCTTCACTTAATGATTGCGAAATATTTTCACCCAAGCAGATATAGCTTCGATGGTTTTATTTTCCGCTACGCAAGTGATAAATCAGCTAATAAAATTGGGATTACAATTGGGATCCAACTTTCTTATGTATCGTGTGACTGTCAAGATTTAGTATTCATCTCCTAACTATAAGTTTTTAAAGTCTGCGACACAAATATTTGCAATGTAATATAATCATCATCACTTGATTTAGAAAACAATTTACTTGATCGCTCGAATGATAATAAGTCTAATCCTATTTTCTTTATATTTTTAGACATATAATAAAGTAATAAATAGTATAAATAAATAAACGAGTATATCGTTGCTAACATCAGGAACGAAATCACTATAGATCAGGGTGATGCATCTTTGTATGAAAGCTAAGAAATCTGATTTTGCCAATGGTTGTGTTGGACTTGTAGAAATTAAGCGAGAAAAAAATATAGCTGTTTCGTCTTGTTTTAGATTGCCATTTTAAAAATTAGATAGGTACCTATAAAAATTCATATTGTATCGTCTATAAATCGTATATAAATGTTATTCTGTGTTAAACTTTTTTTTGGTTTGCTCTTTAAAGTATAATTACATACATATTACTCTGAGATTTGCACAATTAATTTACCTATTAATTGATTAAAATTAAATTATTAAATATTAGCAGCATTCTATCAAAAGAAGCCATGAATTAAAAGAAGAGAAAAAGTGACATTTGTTTGTCAACGTCTTTCATATTGAAAATATTTTCTCAAATTTATTCAAATTTATTTCATAGGTTTAGATTTTAATATTTATTATTGATTTTTGCTTAAATTCAGTTATTGTGCGCTCAAAATACTTCATTTTCGTTTTTAGGCGAATATACTGTCATAATATCGTCGTGAATATACAGTAAAGATTTTTTGTGAGATGGTACTCGTAACTCTGTATAAGCTATTGAATATAAATGAATTCATTATTTCAAAGTTTTAGGCACGATGTGTGATCATCATCGAACGTAAGTTGTGCAAATAAAAAGCACAAAATTATCTGATCACTTTCTGCAGGTTTCCTATGATAGGAATAGAAAAACTTATGACAATATTGTGGTAAGTCTATAAACATTTTGAATCTATTGACGGTTATTTGTAGGGATTATTTACTATATTGACTCGAATTGTATCTGTTTCAGATCACGTATTTAAGTTAAGTTTTCACCATGAGAATTTTGGTGATTTAAATTTACTTTAATGTTCTGTGAAGAATAACTCTCTGATAATAACATGTGTTATATAGCAGAAGCAAGCGTGGAAATATTATGTACAAAAGCAATAAAAAACATCAATAATAATGTATAGTTTATAAAACAATCTGTCTTCCAGAAAATAAAATTACATAACTATACTTATTTATAGTTTTATTGTAACCCACATAGTAATCTATAGTACCTATATTCGAGTAATTTTGGTGCAACCGCTCAAATTAATACCAGTGTAAAATAGCAGCTTAACACTGCTGTGTTTCGTATGGTGAGTGTAGAGAATCGGAGACCCTTTTTACTGGAAAAGAGGCATTCCATCTTAGTCCTCACGACTGACAACGCATCTGCATTTTGATTCTTTATTGAGGATAGATGTGGATATCTATGGGTCACAGCAACCACTTACCAACAGGTGGACTGTGTGCTCGTTTGTCACCCTATCCTATAAAAAAATGTATGGGAATTTACCGAATTTACCCCATAGGTATGTGAGGCTTGAGCGAAAATTACTCAAATATGCCTTAAGTAAAAAGTTTAAAGTTACAGAATACAAAGGTTTGACATTCCCGCGAAAATAGTTTCATATGGGCGCCCACTGTGGTACAAGCCTTTGTTACATTTTGGCAAACTTACTGTTATAAATTACTGCAGGAATATTTACTGTATTTGGTTTAAACCTAAAGAAGGAAGGAAAAAGAAATAAGACTTTATTATTTTAACTTTATTATAAGAGTCATATGTTCAAGAACAAACATATGTGTTCACTTCTAGGCCAACAACAAAACAACAATAAACAGAAATACATTCTTATACTGGCTCAGGGACCCGTTGTGGGTCTTATACAGAACAATTCTACAATTTTTGTAATTACTTTTTAATCAAACAAGCCCAAAATATAATCATGCTCTTATCGATATAACATTAACATAACGCCCACATATGTAGGTCCCAACAACATAGGTACTACACCTAGATACTATAGTCTATTCTAATTTTCGTGTATTGTGAAGCGGAAAACAGTTTGCCGCGCTTTCCAAACGCATGTTGGCGGATATACAATAACAAATTTTAAATGAGAATTAATTGTAATGCTGTAATTATTATTAGTACTATACGTGCACTATATAATTGTCCTTTGATTTTAAGACGAGAAAACTACACATATTGAACATCATTAAAAAAATATAGGTTAAGAAGCCACTTACAACTCAAAAAATAGTCGATAGATGTTTTGAAAATTAATTATGATTTCGTAGTGTTTAAATAAAATCCGTAGGTACAAAAAATTGGGTTTTATACTACTCAATTTGACGTTACTACAATGTTTTGATTGTGGTTCCTTGATCCATACATATCTACAGTACGTTGGTTTTCGTAAATGAATTTTAAGTACCATTTAGTAGTACATACCTACATGTTTTCTTATTTGCAGTATAAAATTAAAATAGTAAAACTATTTATATATTATAACAATATGGTTATAAAATAAAATTTACCTGGTTCCTCAATCCTAAAATTTCTATAGGAAACACATACCCTATATGCTAAAGCGTTTAATCAATTCAAAAAAACAATATGTAACACAAAGATTTTTTAGATCAGTCCCATTTGATGGAAACCAAAACTTTGGTTTTAATTTAGTTTTGAGTTCGATCAAATGAAACCACCAACATTTTCTCAATAGGTATCACATCTCAAAAGCAAAGAAAATGGTGTTTTCGAGGAGAACCTTGAAGCTGAAGCATTGAAGCTTGAATTCCGGCTTGAATCCTCCCAAAAAAGGGCTATATTACCTAAAGTATTAAGTCACTATTTTTTTTTCTTAAGTCAGTTTCACTAAATCTTGACAAAATAAAATTAAGGATATCGTTCAGGAGGATTCCAGCTTGAAGGACGCTGTTTTATTTATTTTATTAATTGTGTTATAAAAAAATAAAAATATACTTAAAATCCTTTATCGGTCTACTGGAAGATACCTACTTCAGTGAATTATGGAACAAGTAGAACCTTTGTACGAACTCACTGTGTGACTGTTTCTGTGTCTTGTTTTGTTTACATTAATAAATTAAAAAAGAGCATATAATACAAAGAGTATATCAATCGCTACCTAATACTCTATGACACAATGTACCTATATGTGAACAATGTATAATACAAGAATAATATGAATTTTGGCTTTTTTTAAACTTTTTTTAAAGTTTAACCACGCTAAATCTCATACTCCTCCGTGCGCCCAATATGCTTAAAAAAGGGTACGAAGTCTTCAATATTCACGTATATATCTTTATATATAAAAATTACGTGTCACGTTGTTTGTCCGCGATGAACTACTAAAATACTGAACTGATTTCAAAGAAGTTTTGCACACTCTGTGCAGTTTGGTCCAACTTGAGAGATAGCATAGTTTTTATCCAGTTAGGCGACGCTTAATATTTTGTTATTACGAATTTAGGGATTTTTTATATGAAGGGTAGTCGAAAAGGGCAGAACAACGTCTGCCTGGCGAGCTAGTGTATATATATATATACACACCCACACACACCCACAGGTGGGGGAAGGGTAAAGGTTAGAGAATTTTTGTCTCTGGTGATCCTGAGCGGCAACAAAGTAACCCATACTACACTACTTTCTTCGCAATTTTTTTGAGTTCTTTACTTGAAATACCAGAAGTTAGATTAGAGAAGAAAATGTATACCCATTTTATTCATTAAATTCTACACAATAAGTTATTGCGTCACATTGCGACGTTTTTGAGAGCTTTTAACGACAGCTTGCTTAACTCAGCGGACAGTAGAAAACGATAGCATCTCAAAACGCGCAAGTGGATAAAAATAACTGTGATTTATATCATTATCCCCATCGAAGCACTTATTATATTGTTTAACTTAAAGTTCACATGTACGTAATTTTAATACACAAAATCGCATCACTTTTAAGTATCATAGTCAACTTCAAACCATTATTTAAACGATATTACATGAGTGAGCAACACGGAAGTATAGCAACAATCCGTCGGCGATAAAGTTCCCGCCAAAACTCGCTATCATTATCGATACTAGTGTAGATAATATTATACTAAGTACATAAATAAAGTGGAAATCAGCACAATTATAAAGCAGTGTTGCAAGTAAAGATAATACACTCTGAAAATTATCACAATTATGAAACTATATAACTCGAAGTTGCTAGTGCGACACATTGTCGAGGGAGTCGGTGCTAATCCTTCGCGGATAGTTATCTAACTCACACTCTCGCGCAAAATCCCATTCCTTGTATGTACTGGCGATCAATGTGCGCAACTCGTCCAAGTGCTCTGGACCCCGGGTTTCGCACACAACTTTTACCTGTCAAATCATAACCAATTCTAAATTACTCGTTCAACAACTGATAGTATGGTACTAGAGTACCATATAAGTCAGATAAAAACTAAAAATCAGATAAAAGAAATAAAAAGAACAAAGGTGGGATCTTGGTCAAACATAGGACTATTATTAATTCAAAAAATTACCCGAACGCTGAATATATCACCGAAGACCCAAGCTCGTTCCTGCATGATATCCTTTATTGAGACGCCGATGGACGCGATGAGCTTACAAAGTTCAGCGATACCTCCAGGACGGTCGCTTACGGTCACTTTGAACTTGACCAGCCGGCTTTCAGCCGCGAGACCTCGCTCCAAGCACCGGCCCAGGATTGTGGTGTCAATGTTCCCGCCAGATAGAATACACACTACTCTGTAAACAAAACGAAACGAAAATAATTAACATGCGACTAAGATTATTACCTCGTTAAGCAGTGTTAAACAATCGTTCAAGTGTTCCCGTAGCCAAGTGTGGAAAGACGGTCACCTTTGTACGCCCCCTATGCAGAAAAATTTAGTATGATGATTTCCCCAAATAAAAAAAAAATGCTTGAGAAACAGTTCGTCCCCCTACTACAGACTGAGACGTTGCGAAGACGATCCGCCTGCTAAGGATGATTCTAAAGGTATCTAAAAAATAATCAATAAAACATTTGTAAAATTGTGCTTCAAAGAACTTGGTATATCACCATCATTCAAAGAAATATTTTCGTTCTATGAGCTCGCTGTAGGTAAATTTCACCGTAGACGAGCTACCCGGGCTCGATCCTCACCAGGACCATTCAAGTTGTCAATAACTACTAAAATTAAACTTGTATACCTGAGGAATAAAAATAGCTCAGCTAGCTAGAGGAACTTGGTGAACAAACTGCACCCTCTCAGATATGAGACACTAGTTCTAACGCCTTAGCCTCCATAGGCATTAGAACAATAGTATTTTAATCTATACAAATAAATAAAATTGAAGCGTGTGTTTGTTATATCAAACTTATAGTATTTTACTAAAGGCATATGAAAGTAAATACGGTACATACTTGTAACTAAAATACAATTTTTAAAATTTTTATCTGTCTGTCTTTTTGTTCCGGCTAATCTCCGAAACGGCTGGAGCTATTTTGACGGGACTTTCACTTGCAGATAGCTGATGTTATAAGGAATAACTTAGGCTACTTTTATTTAGAAAAAGAATTAGGGTTCCGCGCAAAAACATAAAAACCCTAACACGCGAGCGAAGTTGCGGGGAACAGTTAGTCTATAAATAAGTACCTAATGACAGGCGTCTGTCACTCTTGCTACAAGCGTGAAATAATTACCTACAATCGCGAGCTGCCCCAGGGGTAGATCGCAGTCGGGGCTAGCGCGCTCTATACAATTGAATGTTAAAGTTTTAATAACGCGGTTTACGTAAATAATTTTTTGTAAATACTTGTTGAAATACTACTAGTTTTTGTTTAGTGTTTAGTATATTTAATTGTAGGACAAAATAGTTGTAAAGTTTTAATGTAATTTAAGAATAATATATATGTATATTACGGTATTATCTATTTGATAAATTATAATGGTAAAACGTCGTTCCTACTATAATTTTTGCAGGGATGGATGCTTAATGAGCAATTAAAAGGATTCAGATGTATCATTTTTTGACTTACCGAAGGATAATGAAAGGTAAATTTATTTCATTTTTTTGTTAGATAGGTACTTAGAGCGAAAAAATAAATAAGTAATAATTTAACTACAGAAGTAATACCGAAGTACTTTATTACAAAACTTAGTTTTATTCACTACCCAAGTACCTACTTACATATTACCTATACTCGTCTTTGTAATTAAAATATTTTAAGTTATAATAGCACAAAATACTGAAATTAAATCTTTGTTTACAAGATTTTCAACTAAGTAAATGACGATCATATTTCTGTTAGGAATCGTGTTTCAGGTTTATTTGTTGTTTACGCTATACCTAACGTACCAAGCATCGCGATTCCCGACGATTGGCCTTGCAAGTAGGGCATCGAGAACCGGTCCCTTTCCAGGAACCGGTTCTTTCGGTTCTAAACTTTTGCCGGAACCGGGTACCCGGTTCTTTCGGTTCTTTTCTTTCTTTTAGGTTGGAGGCTATTTCGTTCAATGTGAATAACGACAATAATATTCATAAAGAAAACAGTTTATTGCAAATCGTGGGTTCAAGTAATTATTCAAGTAATAATTGCAATAGTTTCTTTTTAATTAAATATAATCAAACATCTCACGAACTAGTAACATTCATTTTACAATTGCACGTTAACAGTTATTTTTTTTATAGCATAAGGGTGACAAACGAGCACACAGTCCACCTGATGGCAAGTGGTTGCTGCGGCCCATAGACATCTACATCTATCCTCTATTACAAATCAAAATGTAGATGCGTTGTCAACCGTGAGGACTAAGATGGAATGCCTCATTTCCAGTAAAAGGGCCTCCAGCCACCTGCACTTACCAAGCGAAATGCAGAGGTAAACCTCTACTTCACGCTGGTTTTCTGTGAGGTCGTGGTATCACCCCGGTTCGAGCCGGCCCAACCGTGCGACAGCAAAAGCTACCGCGTAGCTCTACCACTGTTAAAGTTATTTCACCTTCACTTCATTCACCTTATAGAATAAGCTTTACGAATACTTTTATGAAAAAAAATGGTTTTAAATAAACATTAATTTTACTTAATTAAAAAAACGCAAAAAAATTAATGCATGCAAGTTTTTATCACTCAAAGACGAGCGCAGCCTTTTACAGACGAAGAAAATATTCGCTCTGGCTCTACACTAGCGGGCGATATAGTTTTTAAATGTTCATAAGCTATCGATAAGTAGTACTCGTTGTCTTTGCCCACCACTTTCAAATAGAACCATTTCAACTCTCACAGTAGTAATTAAATAATTTTCTTGATCTGTCGATTCAGTAACAGTATTAACAGCTTTAGACAGCTCTCTATTAAATTCCTCTTCATTTTGTTAGGGGGGATTCATGTAATTCATCTTCCTGGTAAGGGTTGCTGTGGCCCATAGACATCTACATCTATCCTCGATGACGAATCAAAATGCAGATGCGTTGTCACCCGTGAGGACTAAGATTGAATGCCTCGTTTCCAGTAAAAAGGGTATCCGATTCTCTACACTCACCATACACAGCAGCATATTCTGTGAGAGCGTGGTCCTTCCCCGTTCGAGCCGACCCATTCGTGCTACTACTACACCAGTAATATAGCTGCAGCATGGCTCTACCACGTAAAAATTCATTCAATTTCGTGTAACATTTCATCATTTGTAGGCCGGAAAACATAGTTGCACCATCCATATTGGCAAAATAACTGTCAGGGTTGGTTAAGTATATTGATGCTTGCGTGTTTTTATATTGTTTTCGCAATGCAGTGACCATTTTATTACTAAGATGAGTATTCATTTCAATTAATTTTCTTATAGCAAATTTTAAAGAAACATCGGCTGTAGTCAATGCTGCATCGCGACGGGATAGACCTTCTACGATAGTTTTAATAACATCCAATATCTTATTTAACTCTTCTATGTATGTCCAGTCTTCCTCAGTGAATACAATATTAGATTTAAAATCAATTAATGCTTTTGTGATCGTTTTTAACTTTAGAAAACGGCTTAAAATCGCGGCTATGCTGCTCCAACGTGTATTTACATCTAAAACCAAACAATATCTGGTCCTAAATCAGCTATGATGTGCTTTTGAAGAATCTCGTCACTTTTAGTGCGAAAACCCTTGAATTTTTTTTATTTAAATTAAATTAAATATCCTACTGTTTGCCATAAATAGCAGAAATGATTAATAATCACGTTTTTTATAACACTACATTGCAGTGATATACTTTTTAAGAAATTTTGTAAAGGAACCGAAGGAACCGAAAGAACCGGGTTTTTAATTTTTGGAATTGGTTCTTTTCGTGACTCCTGAAAACCGGGTATTCCCGGTTCTTTTGGAACCGGGAAAAACCGGTTTCAATGCCCTACTTGTAAGTTCCATGCGTTGGGCATCACAAAACTCACTTAGCAGATAATATGGTCGAGTATAGTCAGCATAGGTACTTTACCTAAGTAACTTACCATTTCACAATGTATTTTTTTACTATTTATTAACAGCCCTTAGCAACCACGGAAAGTCCGTTGTGAAGGAGAAAATATGTAAAGTAATACGGACACTGGCGCGCAGTGCCAGTTTTATTTAGCTTGCGTGCGCGATTTATCTGATTAATAATAACTATGTAGGCTATTAAAACGTCGGAAAGCAGTCAACATCAAAATTCAAAACAGTGCAACTTCTGTACGTAGTACTATTATTTATTCTGTGCTAATGACAACCCGAGGCCGCGAATGTAAACTGTAAACTGGTCTTTTGCAATTCTTAAACAAGACGTCTTAATTGTCGAAAATTTGCAACATAAGGTTAGATACTATTGCAGTTTACTTATAAGAAATATTATTTTACTACAAACACTACATTGCCGGATATTTAATTATTCGATTTATTGCTTAAAGGTAATAAATTTGTAGAAAATTCGTGTCTGTAATTCTAATATACTCTTGAAAAAACAAGTCCAGGGGAAGCCAAATTAGTGATTTTTAGATTTTTTGTCTGTCTGTCTATCTGTGTATTCCCGATTCACGCAAAAACTACTGGACCCATTTCTATTAAATTTTATATGTAGATAGTTAGTAACCTGGGGCAACGTATAGGCTACTTTTTATCCGATTACGGAATTTAGAAAACAACGTTAAGTATTTTTATTCCTTTACATGTTAATTTTCTATTATATACTAGCTGTTCCTTGCGACTTCGCCCGCGTGTAATTTAGGTTTTTAATTTTTTTGAGCGGAACTCTAATTACTTTTCTTAAATAAAAGTATCCTAAGGTACTCCTTATAACATCAGCTATCAGCCAGTGAGAGTCCCATCAAAATCTGTCCACCCGTTTCGGAGATTAGCCGGAACAAACAGACATACAGACAGACAAACAGACAAAAAATTTAAAAATTAAGTTTTTGTTATAAGTATCGTATATACTTTCATATCCATTTAGAGAAAAAATGTCATTTTGACATTATAAACAGACACTCTAATTTTATTTATTTGTATAGATGCTTATGTTAATTAACGGGTGTTGTTTCAAATAAATATCATACTTGTAAATAAAGTTTAAATTAGTTACCTTTGCATAACAATTTGAAACTCCGCTGACGATATTATACGTTTTAATTATCAAAAGATCCCCATCTATCATCCAATGAAAAAAGCCTATATTTTGCCTTTAGTAAGTAATAAATTATATTATATAAATAACTTACATTTATATGTTTAAATAATTAGATTTATAATATTATTTTAAAATCCTAACGTTTAATTTTTTAGTTTTTCGTTATCTCATTTTAAAAGTGTAATAATTTAAATATATTGGTTAAGGCATGCAGCCTTAAGCGTATTAAAAAAATTACGTATAATATGATTATACGTTCTAGTTCTAGTTCTAGTACGTATTAGTTCTATTCGTCAAAGAGTTCGTGAAAAGTAATGACCGCAACTAAAACGTGGTGATTATATGTATACTCTGACCGCAACGACGTTGACAGTTGACTGTGTTGTGCATTAATAAATGTAATGCGTTTTCGAAAGGTTTTCGATCTTGCGGTGACGAATGTACCGATACATTAGGCAGTATAATATACTTGCGTAAGTATATTACACTGCATAATGTTCGATCGGGTTTGGCACAAAACGCTTCTTTCGAAGCTCCCTTCATATGGGCTTCCCGAGAAATTGTGCAATTGAATCACCAGCTTCCTTGCAGATCGGAGCATCAAGCCTATTAACGCTGGTGTACCACAAGGCTGTCTGCTATCACCAACGATGTTTCTTCTGCATATCAATGATTTGCTGCAAGCTGGTAACATTCATTGCTATGCGGATGACAGTACTGGTGATGCTCTATACACCGGCCGTGCCAATATTTCTCGAGAAAATGTCGTCGAGTACTGGAACAAACTTGTGGGGGACTAAATCTAGTCCACCATAGACCACATACATACCCTTCGGCAAATTGTACAGAAGTCCGAGGAGTACCGTTTGCCACTGTTTGGCGTATGTGGACTATGAGAAAGCCTTTGATTCCGTCGAAATTTGGGCGGTGCTGCAGTCCCTTCGGCGATGCCAAGTTGACTGTCGGTATATCGAAGTGCTGAAGTGTTTGTACATTAGGGCTACCGATGGCTATCCGAGTACAGAACCAGAGTACGAAACCTATCAAATTGCAGAGAGGTGTAAGACATGGTGACGTTATATCCCCGAAACTCTTCACCGCTGCCTTGGAAGACGTTTTCAAGCTTCTGGACTGGAAAGGATACGGTATTAACATCCATGGCGAGTACATCACTCACCTTCGATTTGCCGACGATATAGTCCTTATGACAGAATCGCTGGAGGACCTAAGCACTATGCTCAATGACCTCAATAGTGTTTCCCAACGTATAGGTCTTAAGATGAACATGGACAAAACAAAGATCATGTTTAATGTCCATGTCACACCTATGCCGGTAGTTGTTGGGAACACTAAGCTCGAAGTTGTTGACGAGTATGTTTACTTGGGACAAATAGTCCGACTAGGTAAGTCCAACTTCGACCGAGAGGTCAATCGATGGATTCAACTCGGTTGGGCAACGTTCGGGAAATTACGGCACATCTTCTCGTCAGGTATACCTGAAAACTTGAAAACGAGACTGTACACCCAGTGCGTGTTGTCAGTGATGACATACGGAACTGAGACGTGGTCCTTCACTACTGGCCGGATGAGGAAGCTCAAGGTCGCTCAGCGAGCTATGGAGAGGGCTATGCTCGGAGTTTCTCTGCGTGATAAACTCAGGAATGAAGATATCCGCAGTAGAACCAGAGTGACCGACATAGCCCAACGGATTAGTAAGCTGAAGTGGCAATGGGCCGGCCATATAGCTCGAAGAACCGACAACCGATGGGGAAAAAAGGTTCTCGAGTGCCGGCTTCGTACCGGCGGACGAAGTGTAGGGGTCCCCCCACTAGATGGAGTGATGGAGTGACGACCTGGTAAGATATGCAGGAAGTCAATGGATGCAATTGGCTCAGGACCTTGCTTTGTGGCAATCCTTGGGGGAGGCCTATGTTCAGCAGTGGACTTGTGAAGGGCTGTAATGATGAATGATGAAATCTAGTCCAGTTTATTCCCAAAACGATACAAGTCAAAAAGAACCCCTTTGTCGTATCTCCTTGATCAGGGCACCCCCTCGTTGCCCCAGCCAGCATCGGAATCCTTTGCGTCAACATTTCAAGAGACGCACAGTTCTGCAGTCACTTGGAAGGGAAGTTCTAAACTGGCATCAAGAAAACCTTCGTGTGCGCAGTAGATCGAGACGGTATTTCATGCCAGCCCACCGCTTTCAGCTTTACAAAGCACAGGTTCACCCACATATGGAATACTGTTCTCATCTCTGGGCCGGAGCACCTCAGTATCAGCTCCTTCCACTTGACCGTATTCAACGGAGAGCGGTCCGAATCGGCGACAATCAAGTTCTTTCCGATCGGCTTGATCCACTGGCCTTGCGAAGAGATGTTGCATCTTTATGCATCTTCTACCGCATATATCACGGGGAGTGCTCTGAAGAATTGTTCGGATTAATTACCGCTGCTGAATTCCACCATCGTACACTGCGACAAAACTCTAAATTCCATTCTCATCATCTCGATGGCTGGCGGTCCACTACAGTGCGATTTATGCGGAATTTTCTGCCTCGTACAACCAAACTGTGAAATATACTGTCGTCAGCGGTTTTTCGGGCCAATACGACTTAGGGACTTTCAAGAAAAGAGCATACTCCTTCCTAATAGGCCGGCAACGCAACTGCAATTCCGTGGTGGTGGTGGTGCAATTCCAAAAATGGTGTTCATGAGCGGCGGTGATTACTTTTTTTAGGATAGGGTGACAAACTAACACACAGTCCACCTGATGGTAAGTGGCCCATAGACATGTATATCTATCCTCAATAAAGAATCAAAATGCAGATGCGTTGTCACAAGTGAGGACTAAGAAGGAATGCCTCTTTTCCAGTAAAAAGGGTCTCCGGTTAGAGAACCGAACACTGCTGTGTTTCGTATGGTAAGTGTCTGACACTCACCATATGAAACACAGCAGTGCAACCTGCAACCTGGAATTCTATCAGAGCGTGGTCCTTCCCCGGTCGAGCCGACCCATTCGTGCTACAACTATACTACTACTTACCATCAGGTGAGCCGCATGCTGGTTTGCCTGTTCTTCAATAAATAAAAAACTTAATACGTACTTCTTGTTGGCTAGTTCGGGTACAAGTCCAGCCATGATAGTTGCAACGCCCACGGCGCCGCCGCCTTCTACGACGTATTTCTCTTGTTCGACTAGTCGTAAGATAGCTCGCGCTATCCAATCCTCGTTCACCGTGATCTAAACAATTTAATGTAAGTAAATGATCACACCTAAAAATGTTTTGTACTCCCTATGAGGCTATACTAAGCTAAATAGGATGAATTAGTAAAGATTAATAAGCTGAATAACACAACGGATAAGTAGTCTGAAGGGGCAATGGGCCGGCCATATAGCTCGAAGAACCGACAACCGATGTCGTAGAAAGTTTCTCGAGTACCGGTAGGCAAAGTGTAAGGCGGCCTCCCACTAGATGGAGTGATGACCTGGTAAGATATTCAGGAGGTTGATAGATGCAGGTGGCTCAGAACCGTGCTTTGTGACATTCCTTGGAGAGGCCTATGTTTAACACTAGACTTGTGAAGGACTGTAATAATGATGATAATGATGATGATGGCATTGCATTAGGTTTATAAGAAGTTTTTCCCAAATCCGTTCCTATACCTAAAAATAAAGTTTGATCCTAATCTAACCCTAATTTTCGTTAAGTTTTATGAAGGAATCCTGAGCCGATTCCTTCCTTATCAGTTTTGTGAGTTTGTATGGCGACACTCTTAAGTTATTGCACAGTAGTTCAGATGTATTCTGTATCGGCAGAAGGCGGGGCAGTTCTCCAATAGATGTTCCAACGTCTGAACTGTGCGGTTTTCGCACGGACATTTATCGTTTTTAATAATTTTAAAACGGTGCAGATATGTTTTATGATAACCGTGTCCGGTGAGAAATTGTGTAAGGTAGAAGTTAGTTGGAGTCAGTGTTCGTAGCCTTTTTTATTCAGTGTGGGAAGAAGGTTTCATGTGCGTTTGCCCTGTGATGCACTGAGGTCTTGAAACTAGGTGTTTGCCAGCTGGAGCGATTGCTTTTCCTAATTATGAGCTTGATGTGTGTAATAGGGAACTCAGAATAATCAGGCGACATGTGAAGTCTAGAGCCCGCCCTGGCGGCCTCATCGGCAGCTTCGGTACCCGATATACCTGAGTGTCCCTTAACCCAGTCGATGTGTATGGTGCCTATAGATTTGTGTTCATGTAAGTATTTGTGTACGTTGTGAACCAAATAAAAAAAATCTAACCCTAATAGGAACTTACTAATGTTAATAAAATTTTTCGGGCACGGCCTAGAACTCTATCTGTCTCTTAGTCTCTATCTAGGCTGTGTGGTTTGTCAGATTTCCGTATATAAATGCACATACTCAAAAAGTTGAAATTTTCTGTCAATAAAGTAGCACTTATGTGTTTAGTTTACTTAAGTTGTTTATGTACAGAGTTGTTTTTTATTGATTTGAAATTATTTGGAACAACCACAGACATAGAATAAAATAATATATATATACAACACTGTCTATTTTGTATAAAGTTATTAAACTCAAAAAATACTGGCTGGTTTTAAAATATTTTGAAGAAAGCTTTTGTAGGCCCTTTTAGATGATACCAAATTTGAATTTGATAAAATACATTCAAACAAAAGATTTATGCGACATAACCATAGATTAATGATAAGTCATCACGCGCTCTGATTAGATACCGCCGGCGCTCATGTAAAATGCGCAACAAATACTACGCCGAAATCGGCGTACCCGAGCCAGTCGCGTTGCAGGCAACGTATATAAAAATTACTCTGTGCAGGCAACGTGTGAAGTGAACGTATCGAATGTTTTATTAAATTTTGATCATAATCCGAAGTAAAATATCAGTTTACGTATTTAAACTGTGTAACAATAATACTACTAGAAATAAGAAAGACACTGGAATCACATACTATCATTAAGTATCATACAATTTCGAAATTTTAACATAAAATAACACGAGCCATAAATAAGTCACAAAATATCAATGACGCTATTCAGTGTTGCCGCGAATGCAAAAATAAAGTTCCCGTGGCTGAGATTTTTATATGTGAATTTATTTTTACTATATTTTATAATATAATATATTAAACTTATTATAATATAACCTAATTCTATATTATTTAATGTTTATTTCTGTAGTATTGCTCAAATGACATAATTGCCATTTATTAAGGTTCCGTACCCAAAGAGTATCAACGGGACCTTAGTCTCCATTATCGTTCCGTCTGTCTGTCAGTAGGCTGTATCTTATGAACCGTAATATGTAGATACTTGGAATTTTCATAGAATGTGTATTTATATTGATTCTATAACAACATAAAATAAAAAAGAAAACAAGTAAAATATTAAAGGACCCAAAAAAATCACCAGATCACAAGATTAGTTATCTGTTTGAGACTTTCAATACACACTAATATTCCTAAAAATCCAGTATTTGCTTGAGTACTTAAAACTGGTTTAAAAGTTTTAGTCATTATTTTCTTTTGTTGCTTGTGTTCTTTAAAAGAAAGCTTTCTGGAGGTTTTAATATTTAAGTTTATAATTTTTTTACCATTATAAATGGGATGACTGATTATATATAGGAATGGGATGACCATGTTCCTTCAAATCTCTAGTATTGAATATATCAAATAAAACTACTTGTCGCATTTTTTTAATCAAAATCCCAAGATTTCTACAGCAACGTTTATTTTTTATTATTTCACTACCTACAAGATGGTAACAAATTATCGAACAGAATGGACCCATATATATTGTAATTAAATGTAATAAAACTTTAAAACAAAAACGTCTTGAATTTGTATACAATATACGAAGAAACTTTTTCCCCAGTCTTATATATTAACTAAAGGTGTAACAAAATAGTACTTAATAACTTAGGGAATGATTCTGCCCGTCAACGTGAATATTTTTTGTTATGGGATCATCTTCGAAATTTTCCATTTATACCTGATAGTCCCATACTGCAGCTATATTACTGGTATAGTTGTAGCACGAATGGGTCAGCTCGACCGGGGACGGACCACGCTCTCACAAAATACCAGTGTAAAATAGGAGCTTAACGCTGCTGTGTTTAATATGGTGAGTGTAGAAAACCGGAGACCCTTTTTTACTGGAAACGAGGCAATCCATCTTAGTCCTCAGGGGTTGCAACGCATCTGCATTTTGATTCTTAACCGAAGATAAATGTATATGTCTATGGGCCACAGCAACTACTTATAATCAGGTGGACTGAGTGCTCGTTTGTCACCCTGATCCTATAAAAAAAATCTCAAGTCAGTTATTTCATACAAAATTTCGTACAAACTTGCTCAAAATGTATGGAAGACCTGATTTTTTCTTGCGATTAGGAAGATAGATCTATAGTAAAAGTTGTTCATATTGACGCGCAGAATAGAAAGCCCTATTTTGATTACACCATATATATAACTATTTTTTTAAATAATTTATGAATATTAGTTAGACAATATTAGTTAGACGGCCCCCAGTCCCCGGCGGCCCCGCTATTCCTGGCCACGGTGGCGACCATGGTAACGGCGGGGCAGGGGGTGCTAAGAATCTCCGGTGGAGGTTCGGTTGCCACCTTAGACGACTCGACCTGGCAACGTACAACGCACGCACCCTGAGGACTGACGAGAAGATCGTGGAGCTGGAAGAAGAGATAGACAAGTTGCGCTGGCATATTATAGGATTATCCGAAGTCCGAAGAGAGGGGGAGGACACGGTAATCCTCGAATCCGGCAACTTGCTCTATCACCGGGAGGGCGACCATCTGTCCCAAGGAGGTGTCGGATTTATCGTCCACAAGTCTCTCGTTAACAACGTTGTAAAGATCGGGAGTGTGTCGACGAGGGTTGCGTACCTTATACTTAGAATCACCAAACGGTATTCGCTGAAGGTCATACAGGTTTACGCACCAACCTCGGCACACCCCGATGAGGAGGTGGAGGAAATGTATGAGGATATCTCTAGAGCCATGCATTCCTCTAAACTCCAATATACGGTGTTAATGGGAGACTTCAATGCAAAACTAGGCACAAGAGAGAACGATGAGCTGAAAGTAGGGAAATTTGGAATAGGGCAACGGAACCCAAGGGGTCAGCAGCTGGCCGACTTCATGGAGAAAGAGGGACTCTTTATGATGAACTCTTTCTTCCAGAAGCGGCCCCACAGGAAGTGGACCTGGTCGAGCCCCGACGGTTCGACAAAAAATGAGATTGACTTCATTATGACGACCAGACGACAACTGTTCAGTGATGTCTCCGTGATCGCGAGGGTGAAAACTGGTAGCGATCACCGAATGGTTAGAGGCACACTGAACCTAAACGTTAAGTTGGAGAGGTCTCGTCTAATGAAGTCAACGCTCCGTCCCCCTCGTGCTCTGTTCCAAAGTCCCGAAACCTTTCAGCTCGAGTTACAAAACCGTTTTCAGTGCCTAGAAGACTGCAATGAAGTGGACGATATGAATGAGAAGCTCGTGGAAACTGTCCATGCGGTCGGAGCTAAGTTCTGCAAGACCCGCCGCAGAAGAACACAAAAACTCTCCGATCACACTCTTAATCTCATGGCTGTTAGACGGGAGATGAAGCTACATTCATCAACAGACTTGACAGCATACAGGCATCTGAACAGACAGATCTCCAAATGCATGCGGCGGGACTTAAGCAACTTCAATACAGCTCGTATTGAAGAAGCGATCGAGCGGAACCAAGGCTCCAAAGTCTTTGCCAGAGATCTGTCTGCCAGAAAGAGCCACCTGTCAAAGCTGAAGACAGAATGTGGCAGCATCGTTTCCGGGACACCTGAGATTTTGAGTGAGATTGAGAGGTTCTATGGGCAGCTGTACACGGCATCGTTGGAGCCACACGCAAGTGTGAGTAACGATCCAAGAGCGAGTCTCATCCGACACTATTCCGAAGATATCCCGGACGTCAGTCTGAGCGAGATTAGAATGGCTCTCCAGCACCTTAAAAACGGTAAGGCCCCAGGCGAGGATGGAATTACAGCGGAGCTTCTGAAAGCGGGTGGAAAACCGGTACTTGAAGTCCTTCAGAAGCTCTTTAATTCCGTCCTCCATGGTGGCATTACACCGGAGGCGTGGAGCAGAAGTGCGGTGGTCTTGTTCTTCAAGAAAGGTGACAACGCTCTCATGAAGAACTACAGACCGATTTCCCTTCTGAGCCGCGTCTACGCACTGTTTTCGAGAGTCATTACGAATCGTCTCATGCGCAGACTTGACGACTTCCAGCCTCCCGAACAAGCCGGTTTCCGAAAGGGCTTTAGCACCATAGACCACATACATACCCTTCGGCAAATTGTACAGAAGTCCGAAGAGTACAATTTGCCACTATGTCTGGCGTATGTGGACTATGAGAAAGCCTTTGATTCCGTCGAAATTTGGGCGGTGCTGCAGTCCCTTCAGCGGTGCCAAGTTGACTATCGGTATATCGAAGTGTTGAAGTGCTTGTACAGTAGGGCTACGATGGCTATCCGAGTACAGAACCAGAGTACGAAACCTATCCAATTGCAGAGAGGTGTAAGACAGGGTGACGTCATATCCCCGAAACTCTTCACCGCTGCATTGGAAGACGTTTTCAAGCTTCTGGACTGGAAAGGATACGGTATCAATATCAATGGCGAGTACATCACTCACCTTCGATTTGCCGACGATATAGTCCTTATGGCAGAATCGCTGGAGGACCTAAGCACTATGCTCAATGACCTCGATAGTGTTTCCCAACGGATAGGTCTTAAGATGAACATGGACAAAACAAAGATCATGTTCAATGTCCATGTCACACCTATGCCGGTAGTTGTTGGGAGCACTAAGCTCGAAGTTGTTAACGAGTATGTTTACCTGGGACAAATAGTCCGACTAGGTAAGTCCAACTTCGACCGAGAGGTCAATCGACGGATTCAACTCGGCTGGGCAGCGTTCGGGAAGCTACGACACATCTTCTCGTCAGACATACCTCAAAACCTGATAACGAAATTGTACAACCAGTGCGTGTTGCCAGTGATGACTTATGGAACTGAGACGTGGTCCTTCACTGCTGGCCGTATGAGGAAGCTCAAGGTCGCTCAGCGAGCTATGGAGAGGGCTATGCTCGGAGTTTCTCTGCGTGATAAACTTAGGAATGAGGATATCCGTAGTAGAACCAGAGTAACCGACATAGCCCAACGGATTGGTGAGCTGAAGTGGCAGTGGGCCGGCCATATAGCTCGAAGAACCGACAACCGATGGGGAAGAAAGGTTCTCGAGTGGCAGCCTCGTACCGGTAGGCGAAGTGTAGGGCGTCCCCCCACGAGATGGAGTGACGGCCTGGTAAGACATGCAGGAAGTCGATGGATGCAGGTGGCTCAGGACCGTGCTTTGTGGCATTTTTTGGGGGAGGCCTATGTTCAGCAGTGGACTTGTGAAGGGCTGTAATGATGATGATGATGATGAGTTAGACATGTAAATAAAAAAATTAAACTGATAAAAAGGAGGCCTTATCATTTATATGTCATTTATTCAGAAGAAAAACCTATACATAATATACACAAATATATTGATACATTCGTTATTAATAAACTATTCGTTTTTAAGTATTTCTGGAATACATTCATAACTATTAACTTAACTACTAAGCCATAGCATAAAATAAATTTTCCCGTTAATCGGGTAATAGTTAAGCTGCTGGCATATACAATTTTTCACGCATACTAGCATCATGCAAATTGTCTTATACACACTACAATATTAAGATGCCGCTCTCACGGAGCTGTTACTTGCAGGGAGCGCGGTATCTAGTCAGAGCGCGGTATCTAGTCAGAGCGCGCGATGACTTATCATTAATCTATGGACATAACGTTAGCGAAGTTTTCAATTTATCTACCATGGTTTGTGATAATTTTGGTGTCAAATTAAAGTTTTAAAACAAGTTAGCAATTAATTTCGAATTTATGCCACTATATGCATCATGCAGACAGATAACACGTCATCAAAATCATCGATTGTTACTTACTAATTTGTCTACGATTGGTTTCACGGTACGGTAGGCGTTGTATCCAACTGTGGGTACGGCTAGACCGTCAGCCAGAGTCGACCGGATCTCCACACTCACTGGTTCGTCATGCTTCATGGCCATCCTCATGCTTGGGCATTTCTCCGTCTCAACGCCCTAAAACATTTATGACGTAATGATTACACTAACTTCCTGACTTGGATATAAGAGATCATGTTTTTTTACACATTAAGTGTTGCAGTTATATCTTTTTTTATACAAGTAAGAGTGACTAACGAGCACACAGTGCACAAGTTGATGCGTGCCGCCGCCTTTCTACTACTCCCAACATCGTCGATAATACGACACGTGTTTCGCATCTATACGAGGCATCCTCAGGTGCCGGTGGTCGACGGACGACGGTGGTGTGTCTTGTCTTGTGTCTTTCCTAATGTAGTGGTGTTGGGAGTAGTGGTGCTGGGATTGCGTTGACGGGGACAGTGCACGCAAATGAGTGAGGGCGGGAGGTGCTCTTCAAACTAGGTAAGACACATTATTTTATTTCATTACGCGGATATAAGCAAATAAATTTTTAATAACTTTGATAGTAAAGCGACTGCAACACGTGATATTGATATCAGTTTGTTTAGATCGTTGAACGAAGCGTTAGACGTTACAAAAGATATAGGTCAAGTGGCATCGTATCACAGCCTAATTACGCTCATAATTATTATTTATTACTACGAGTATGATTGAGAGTTAACGCGTCTTTCCCATGCTCTATTAACAAACTATTGGAACTGTTGAAATATTGGCAGCAAATTAGATATTGATTTTTTAAATGAATTCCAGTCAATATAATAGCTATGTTATGTCTATAAATCGTAAGGAATAAGATATGAAGTTTTTTTTTAGTGTTACCTGCCAAATTATTAACAGTATAATAAAAGACTCTCCGATTACTGCTTACACTTTTATTCGTCCTGAGGCTTTAGTTTAAACTCTATATATTATACATTTATTTGGTCTTAATCTATGTTTCGTCACTAACCCAACCGTCTCCCACGGCTGTCTGCCACTTTTTCCCCTTTTGCTTCGTGCAACTGACCACATCCCCTCTCTTACTGTAGTGTTGTGCCATTCTAATTAAGTTAATTTACCAATAAAATGTCAATTGCTTAAACAGAAACTATACTCTTAGAAAATTAATTAAGTGAAAACCTAACATTCGTCCATCCTGACTTCGTGCATGTCCTCATGCACGGTTGAAAAGAAACCTAACATTCGGTCAGATGCACGAGGCCTACAGATAATTTCACAGTATTAAAACAATAAGATAAAACTTACATTAGGTACATATTATTATTTCTTAACTACTAATTAGCTTAATCAAAACAATCGGACATTGCTATAATCTTATGGTACATTCAGAATATAAGTTTAACAATAAATTCCCATTGAGCAAGTAAAACATAACTTCGCAGTTTTTTTTTTTTGTTAATCCATTACAATTTTCAAATGAGTCCCATTAGTAAATCCATCCATTCTTACGAACGGGACACATTTGACAAGCGAACACAGTGCAGAACACTTTACTTGCCCGATTACAAACCCATCCATTCTCATAACCGGCAGAAGTAAAACGATAAACTGTGAACCTATCCATTCTCACAGATATCTATGCTCAACACCCATGTCGCTAAATCTTAATCATAACAATATTTGTCCATCCATTCTCATAACCGGCACAAGTAAAACGATTAACTGTGAACCCATCCATTCTCACAGATATCAATGCTTAACACATGTCGCTAAATCTTAATCATAACAATCCTTGTTTTTTTTTATTTGTCTATCTATCCAAATGTACGTCGTAACTTAACATAACATATTTTGTAACAAAATATTTACCATGAATGTGAAACTTAGAAGGGTACTTAGGTAGAAAAATTGTTAATAAAATTGTTCACAACAGGTCCATTTACGACATTTTTGATGTAATTTTACAAAATAAAATAAAAATTTAAAATAAATAAATAAAATAATTACTTGGTTTTATTATTTATCACTATTACTATAATCTATATATATCCTCATTACCACCATCATTAGACGTATCGGATTCATTAACATCTAAAGCGGCAAAATTGACCCAAGGCGACATTTGGTCAGCGGCTCCAGCTGTTTGTCGTTTGTTCTTGGTACCCGTTCGTCCCGGAATAGTTGCTACCCTATATCTATAATTTCCCAATACTGATATTACCTAATATGGGCCTATGTATGAAAGAAGAAGTTTCCTACTCTTTCCGTCACTTGTAAAAGTCATTTTCGTTATTTTAACTAACCTTCGGCATAAACCTTGGCCGGACGTCATCCTCTATTGAATCTAAATTTTTGTTTCTCTTGTTGAGTATCAATAGAGTCTTTAATTTCTTTTTTTTTTCTTATGGTGGCTAGATCGTTTATTTCTCGAGTTTCTTGACGAACTATAATAAACTTAGAATTTGGGTTTGAGTTTGATATACGCAAGGTTTTATGAACAGGGCCGCTCATTGGCATTAATAACAGCGAAACAATTTTCTGTTTTATGGCCCATTCTATCGCATTTACCGCACTTTATAATAGGCTTGGGGCATTTTAAGAATGGATGACCCTTTTCCTTGCAGTTATAACAATATATATTATTATTTTGGATAAGGTTATTTTTATTTGTTAATCTATTATTATTATTAACGCTAATAATATCTGTATTTACACCAGACCTAAAGTTGTTATAAGTTCGTTCAAAAGGTCGATTGAGTTCTTTATTACTCATTAAAAATCGGAGCAACTGTTCCGGTTGTAAACAACGTAATGTGGTAGCACTTGATTTAATAGTTTTGTCCGTTAACCCGTGTATAATGCAATCGACAGCGCGCTTTCCTTCGATGTCACATTGGTTCAAAAGTGCCAATTTCTCATAATAATACACTTCAATAGGTTCGTTAAACTTGCTCTTTCGTTTCAACATATCTTCCAGAGCTTGGCCATAGTTATATTCATATGGAAAAGCATTTATTAACCTATCTTGCCACTCATTCCAATTAAAAAGAATTGAAGGTAAACTCTCGTACCAGGTCTTGGCCAAACCCTGGAGCTTTTGCATGGCGTAATGGATTGTTGTTTTGTCGTCCCAGCCGTAGACTGTTGCACATTCATTTATTTTTTTAACCACATATCTATTCGTTGATTTTTTGACGTTGGATCAAAATCAGGTAAAATATTTTTATAGCTACTTGAATTAATAGGTGCAACCGGGGCGGACGTCGACGGCTGTGACTGTAAGTCTTTAAGTGATTTAAGAATATTAGTTACATCTTTAGTTGAAAACGAGGGACTGAAAGATCGTTGGCCTTGTTCTAGAATTCGCCTTCTTTTGGGACGGTCATCCACCCCTTGGTCAAGCGCCCTACTTCTAGAACGAACATTACGTCCAGTACTTGTATCACGCCCAGAAATATGGGAATCATGACGTTCGAAATCGTTATTTTTACTCACACTGCGTAGCCTCCTACTACGTTCCATAATCAGGTCGTTCTGGAGATTGTGTAGCCGGTCCCGTTCGGGAGCGAGGTCTCGTTCTACTACACGGAGTCGCTCACGTTCGTTAAAACTCCTAATACTGTCACAGCGGGTGCGGCTACGTCTGCTTCTGGTCCTATCATCATCCCTTCGTTGTCGGGACTCCCCACGATCTGGAGTCTCCAGACGACGAGGTTGCGATTTATCTTCCCTCTGCATTTTTTCTGCAACTCACAAACAAAAGCAACTATGAATACATTCAATGACTTGAAACTTTTCTTAAGTAGGTATCTCGAAAACGGCCTATGTTATCTAAAAATTAACAAAATTTTTGTTACTCCTTTTATCCCAGCATCGCAGCGGTATCTAGCATTGGGTAGTCTTAATTGGATTGGCATAACACGTTAGGTAGCGCCATTGTCACATTTGACCTACACTTTTTTAATTTTATTAATAACTAATTTACTTTATTAATACGTTACCATAAGAAGAAGTACAATAATGTCCTCTTTGTTTAACTACCACTGGTTTGAAGTAAAACTTCTGTCCTGGTAAGAACCAGCAAGAAAGCATAAAAATATAAGAAGAACCCAATAATTACCGAAATAAGTAAAACAAATGAACAAATAATAACATAATTTAAAACCTGCTAACAAAAACGGCTTTGTCGCACGGCATTTGTTTAAAACATTTAATGTTATTCACGACTATTCCCTTATGTTACAAAAGGTTTAAGTTACAGTTCTTTAAAGCTGATAAGATTGTCGATAAGTAGAAACAATAACAATAACATTTGGAAGTTTATTTAGTTTTGTACAGCTCTTTGTTTCTAAGGGATCTTGAAAAAGTGTATTTACTGCCAATAAATTTGGTTTTAGGAATGAAAAAGCGTATGATTTTATTTTATTTTTATGTCATCATAATCTGTATAACACGCTCTTCTTAAAATGAACCGAAATGATGTATGTAATCATTAAAATAGTTCTACTTCTTTATCCGCAAACATTTGCTAAAAATTCTACAGGAGACAGTTTGCGCGAGCCTCCTTGTAACCTCATTTTCAAAACCTTTTTGTGAAAATATTACAGCGTCTTCTTTATTTTTTTATATACAGTTATATAGATAAAACATTTTGAAATAATATTTTTATGAATATACACGCAATAAACTATCTATAAAAGGCTAAATATCTCAGAAGGTAGATCTATTTGAAATTTTGACCGTTATAAATTGTTGGTGTATGTTGGTGTTTTGTTTATCTTTTTTTTTATCAATTGAAACACAAAAATTTTCTGTTGTTGTAACTTAAATCATTCTAAAACATTATCTAGCAAAAATAATTAACATTTTTTTTTACCAGTTTTTGAAAGAAAATCCAACAAAAATCATAAATACAAAAAGAAAACAATTCGCAACTAACATCACCAACAACGCGAAAGTGAATGCCAATTTTTTTTTTTAATTTTGTCTATGTAACCGAGTGAGCTTAATACTTGAGAATACTTTTTACTTCGTTCAGAATTGAATAAAATAGTTTCTAATTGAAAATATACTGTCGTTCTATATTTATTAAGACGAAAATAACAGCGCGGTATAGCTGTATGAATTGGTTCCCCCGGTACTCAACGGGTTAAAGCCTAGGACCATTTAATCATAAACGAGTCAATAAAATTGTTTACAATAAAACTTTTTTTTTTTCATCAGAACATATACTTACAGGTATAATAAAAGAAACGGGTACTTACCACTTCTGAAGTATAATAAAAGACTCTCCGATTACTGCTTACACTTTTATTCGTCCTGAGGCTTTAGTTTAAACTCTATATATTATACATTTATTTGGTCTTAATCTATGTTTCGTCACTAACCCAACCGTCTCCCACGGCTGTCTGCCACTTTTTCCCCTTTTGCTTCGTGCAACTGACCACATCCCCTCTCTTACTGTAGTGTTGTGCCATTCTAATTAAGTTAATTTACCAATAAAATGTCAATTGCTTAAACAGAAACTATACTCTTAGAAAATTAATTAAGTGAAAACCTAACAACAGAAACTTTTTTTATTCAATATAGATAATAAATAATATTTATTGAAAGTCACTCGTTTGTTTAGTTACCACTGGTTCGAATAAAAAACCTCTGTCCTGGCAAGAACCAGCACGAAACCCAGTGGGGCTTTAAAAAAAACAGCTTAAAATCATGATGTTACACAAATTAACAACACAAAAAATTTGAAATAGCTTGGTAGCGATCACCTCATTCCCAGGGGTTATTATCATCCATATATTCCTTAATATTATAATAACCCTTTTTATACAAACTTAGTTTAATAAAGTTTTTGAACTTTGATCAGGTCATATTTTGTATATTTTCTGGAATTTTGTTGTAAAAGCGTATACATCGCCCAAAGAATGAATTACTGACTCGATGGAGTCGAGTAACTGGTACTACTAGCTTGTGTCTGTTCCTAGTATTTACAGAATGAATATCACTTATTTTTGTAAAACTACTTTTATTTTTGTGCACGTACATTACATTTTCATAAATGTATTGAGAGGCCAAAGTTAATATATTAATTTCCTTAAATTTTTGTCACAGCAACTCTTTAGGCTTTAAACCATAAATTGCTCTTATGGCCGTCTTCTGTAAAACAAATACAATTTCAGTGTCAGCTGCGAGTCCCCATAGCAAAATACCATACGACATTATGCTATAGAAATAGCTAAAGTAAACTAGTATGGTTATTTCAACACTGGTAAGATTTCTAATCTTTTTTAGAGTATATGCTACAGAACTAAGTCTGCTTGCTAGTTTTGATGGGGGCTCCATTGAAGCTTCGCGTCTAGTGTGATTCCAAGAAAAATAGTGGCTTCGACAAGACTCAGTTTCTACTCATTTAAAATTATATTAGTATTTAAATTATTTACATTTGGAGTCATCAATTTCATACATTTCGTTTTTGAACCAATTTACTAATTTAGATGTAGCATTATTTACTTCGTCATATTTTAGTAATTGTCGTTTTAATTTGAAAATAATTTTAAAGTAAAACTGAACACTTATGCAATCGATACAGAGTCTTTCTTTCCTCTATATCTTTTACTAAATTGCCGTCCTTGTGTGGATCTTTAATTTTACTGAGGAAGTAAACAATGAAGAGATCTGGCACAAGATCAACTCTGCTTTCCTAGGCATGGAGGTGAAACAACATCAAATTCCTGATTCCGAGCTGCTACTAAATATTTCATTTTTCATTTTCATTTTTGTCTGTCCCGAGACTCGAACCTGGTACCATAAGATCGGAAGTAAGCATCAGCTTTTATTATACAGTATACACAATACACAATGGAAGTGGCCAAAACGTATAACACCTACTTTACAATACTTAATAAAGTAAAAAATTCCAAAAAGAACTAGTAAGTAATTAAATATATCAAAAATGTAAACAATGTGACCTTTTTAATATTGTTATTTTTACTGCTGACTTATCCACTAAACTTGTGTTCAGGATCAGTAAAACCTAAAACAACACTGAAAGCTTGCTCAACGTGTATTATGTTAATAATTTACGTTTTAACAAGTAAAGGTGAAGGTATAAATGCGGGTAACAGCAACTTACATAAATAAGCACATGGGGCTTAAGATGTTTGATGGCAGTGCCAACGCCAGCCAGCAACCCGCCGCCGCCCACCGGAACTAGAACCGCGTCTACGTCAGGCACTTGCTCCAGTATCTCCAGCCCAACGGTGCCTTGACCGGCCATTATGTGCGGATGGTCATACCTACACCAATGCATATTGTTTTTTGTTATCTACTATATATATATAAACAAAAATGAAGTATCTGTCTGTAATATCAAATAAACAGATATTAAAATTTTTCTCTATCTGTCTGTGCGGGCTAATATTTGGAATGGCTGAACCGATTGTGAAGAAACTTCACGAACAGAGCCATAGTAATGCTAGGAGTGATCTAGGCTACTACTATTCTTCTGTATAATTTATCCGAAAATCGTAGAGATTTAAAAACAAACGAAAAAATTGATAAACCTACCCAGGAGTTCTTTTGCAGTGGTGGGTCGCTAGTACATAATATACGTATCAGTACTGTTCTTATATGTATAAGATTCAACTGAGTCATTTCCCAAGGCTACTGTGCCGCGCAGGAAGGTAGGAATGCATTGCAAGGTATTTCATTTTTGCTGCAGTCATAACCCGGATGCAAAGTGGCTTAACTATGTTAAAAGTGGTCTACAGCCCATCACAAGTACTGCAAATCCAACGTTTACAAGCAGAAGGACGTGGCCAATATCAATGCCAATGTCAGCACTTGTATGTACACGATATCCATACTACCCACATACGAAATCACGAGAATGGATATCCTGTCAACTATGTAATTGCAGAGATGGTCTACAATGGTTTTGTTGCCCAGACTTGCGAAGACTTTAGGCTTTAGACCCGCCACATACATACGGAATTCCGTTTTGGAATTCAGTTTCGATATTTCGGTTCGAGATTCCGAACGCAGAAAGTTCATATAAAATCTATGACCCAAACTCTATAATAGTTTAAATACAGTGCAAATGTCGAACTATGCCTATAATAGAATAGAATAAAATAGAATAGAATGTAATGTAATGCAAGGCAATGGTATGGAATGGCTTTAGGGTGGTTCTTCGGGCTTATTGAAAACTAGTAACCTATTTTACTACATGGCTGGTCCTGGGTGACAGGTCGCATATTTATTTATTAAGGCCCGCTACATACATACGGAATCCCGTTTTGGTAATTAGTTTCGATATTCCGATTCGGAATTCCGAACGCAGCAAATGCATATAAAATCTATGACCCCCACACATGTACGTTAGTTTTCCGTTCGAAGTTTTGCGGGCAAAACAGGATTCCGTATGTGTGTGGCCGGCCGACACCTTCGATATTCCGAAACGGAATTCCGTATATATGTGGCAGGCCTTAACCTTTGTTGCATGAAAACTAGCAAACCGGAGATTTTAGGGGTTTTCTACCAGTAACCTATAAGTAACAAAGAACACTAATCGATCGAAGCTTTAAACGCCTGAAATTATCTGTGGTTTTTGGTAACGACAATTCATAACTAAACTTACCCGTTAATATAAGTGAGTCCTTTTTCCTTCGCCAAGCTCATAGCATGGTGCTTAGCCTCTTTCATGTCGTGACCATGAATAATGACCTTCGCTCCATACGAACGGCACTTCTGTATCTTCATGATCGGAGCAACGTTGGGCATCACCACGGTAGTGGGAATATGCAGTAGATTGGCGTGGTAGCTGAGACCCTACCATAACGGAAATTTATTAGTAAATGTATACAAAAGCTTTTTACAGTACATCAGGAGTATCCAGAATTAATCATCCTATCTTCTTCCATCGATCTGGCAAAGATTCAAGTAAACGATTTGACAGAATATTATCGTGATTTCTGATTTTTTTTTGATTTTTTTTCTTATAGTGTTACTGTGGTAGTTATAGATTTCTCAAAGTGGTAAGAGATGAACATACTGTCTGATAATAAATATGTAAAATCCAGTCCAGAATGAGGACAAGAACATGTGCCAAAGCTGCAACATATCAGAATTTTCTATTTAATATTAGCACCCTATTTATAATGGATTTTTGGGTTGTTTGGTGGTGGCGCAAAAAAAAATCGTTACCCCATTTCGTCCCGTGCGTTTCATAAGAGGGACTATGAGAAACGCCAGAAAATCTAACGCCTTCCGATGGGTCGTATAACCATCTCGTTTACGCTAGACGACAATTTAAAAAAAATGGTTTTCATTTTTAAACTTTATTCCCATCATAAAAAGTTTTATTTATATTGCAACTCAGATAGTTTTAGGACCTTTTGAACTGTATTTTTGATTCGAAAACCGAGTTTATTTTTAAGTTATTAAAGTTTACATTTGTGTGAATAGCAATAATTTGAAATTCTTCCTGCTCCGCGATCACCCTCTGCCAAGCACGACGATTACTCCTTCCAAACAAAGGAAGAGGTCCATGTCCACCAACTGACTTTTACTTATTATATTGGCTACTAGCTGTGCCCGCGGCGTAGCTCGCGAATATAGGTTTTACTTAAAGAATTTGACGTTTAGGGTAAGAGAATATTAAACGATTTATATCATTACTGTATGAATAAGTGGTAACAAAATAAATCGATACGCTCAAAGTTCTAAGTCGTTTATGATAGAGCTTCCGTGTAAACGACGATAGAAGTAGACTTAGCCGGGGCGTACAGAAAAAGGTTGGCATAGAGTTGGCCATGTGCAAAACAATCAGTACTGGGGTCCACTCCTACAACGCGTAAAGTTTGACCTTGCGCTTTATTTACGATCGTCGCATAACACACGCTGAGTAGGAAACACACTTAAAATAGGGATGTTAGATGATCATCGATGTTAAAAATTAAAACTTCGATGTTTTAACATCGATGTTGACACATGTCAAACATCGAAACATCGACGTCAATGAACCCATAATCGATAATTGGGAACTTGCAAACAATGCGAACTCGCGAAATCAATATCAACTAAATCTTGCATCTGCTCTGAAGATTAAAAATTTTGAATAATTCAGAATTCCTGAACGCATCGTTAACCTAAAAAAATGTCAGTATGGTGAGTCAAACTTAATTGTCAAGTGTCACCTGTGATGTCACAATGGTCACTGCTTTCGCTTTATTTTGTAGTGTCGTTGTCGGTTGTCGCATAATAACTATTCTACGTAAATTGATATTCAAGTTAATTGTTACTTTTCCCTTGATGTGTATACCCACATAATTTTAAAACAATGTGTAAGTATCTACACATATACAAAAACCATCGATAATGGTCATCATCGATGTTTTGAGTAGCCTAAACATCGAACATCGATGTTGAGCTATCGATGCCAACATCGATGTCATCATCGATGTTATTATCCCTATCTTAAAACTGTAAGGAAAGTTATTTGGTATTAGAGGTTTAGCGGGATTCTGGGTATAAAACAATATCACGACATTTATTGCAAATTTACTACTTTTAGTTTTTAGTCGAGTTTTCGAGTTTTGTTGAATAATTTCGACGTACGTACGTCTCTTTTTTCTGTTTCTGCCGATGTTTGTGCTTTGTGTTGCTAGCCTACACGGCTCTAACAGGCTTGCAGCTTCGTCGGACTCATGAACATAAATTTTTTCGGTGAGTGTCAATACGATTCACCTGCGAAAAATCTTAACACCGCAATTCAGAAAAGGTTGTAATTTGTACAACGCCATCTATTACGTTCTTTGTGAGAAAACATCCTTTTTTAATTTAAGGAAAACATATTTTTTTTTACTGTGTTTTAAGTATAAATATATTATAATAGAACGTTTTTTTTACACACGTATCTTTTTATTACTATTTCTGAGATTTTGTGGCGCCATTAAACAAATTCGAACCTACATTTCAAAATAATAATCATAACTTTCGATAGAAGTAACCAATTTTAATAAAACAAAGATTAAATGTAACTCGAAGATACGCTTTATTATTTTCTTAACGATTTCTTTGAAAAAAAAAAGATATTTACTTTAGACGTGATGCTTTCATATAAAAACAGACAAACAGACAGAAAGACAATTCTAAAAATTATAAAAATGTACTTATTTAATTATTTTTAGTTCCCCATAATGATTTTAGTCACCATAATATATATATACAATGTACAGAAAGAGACACAACATGTTATTTTTATTATATGTATATATTTAAAGAGAGATGGCGCTGCTAACATCAACTTGATGACTCAAACAAAGCCACCGTTAAGCAAATTCCCTATCCATACTTCAGAATATTTATCATAACTTTTGATGGAATGAACCGATTTTAATGAAATAAAGACTAAATGTAACCCGAAGGTTTACTTTATAATCTCCTTAACAATTCTTATGATATAAATTAGTACTTTAAACGTGATACGTTAACAAACAAACAGACAGACAGACAGACAGACAGACAGACAGAAAATTCTAAAAATGGTAGAAATGTATTTAATTACTTATTTTTAGTACCCCTCAATCACTTTTATTACAAAAATATAAAATGTACAGACATCTGCTATTTACAGTTTTATTATATGTATAGATTTTATGTTGTTATTCGGTGAGCGTGGTCTTTCTTCGTTCGAGCCAACCCATTCGTGCAGATTGGCTCTGCCATCTTGTAAATAAAATCTACAGATGCTTAAAGAACAATGGCGTATTAATATTATAATAATAAAATAAAATAATAAAATAGTACAAAAATTATAATACAAATTAAGTTTGACATATTTGTTTTGCGTGTGCAGATAAAATATATGTAAAATTATAGAATTTGAGTTCCTCAACAATTTCATCTTATGGTTTACTATTATAAAAAGTCTAACCTTTTTTTTATAGGAGAGGGGGCAAATGAGCATACGGGTTGCCTGATGGTATCTGACTACCGCCGCCCATGAACAGTTGCAACATCAGGAGAATTGCAGGTGGCAGGTAACATCTAGGAACTATGTAGATAATATCTACGAACTACGTAGATACATTTTTTTCTCAGAACGAGGTGACGATGAAAGTTAAGAAGAAAGTAATTCTTATTGGTCGCTTGTAAAATTTATTCATTCATTCCTAATGAAATAGATGAAATGAAAGAGTTCTGTCGTGGGATTTTATGGAGTTCTGTAAGTTCGTAGATGGAGAATATTCTATCACGAACGTATTACCCAATACCACCCAATACTAAGTCCATTAAAGATTATTATTTCTATGTAGACGTAAGTCCAATGTGTTAGTGTGGATCAAAAATTTTTACGTCACTGTTCGTCTGATATAAGGTTAAATATTTTTTTTAATTATATTTATTATAATTAAACTCTTGTTACATGAATCTGCTATCTGCTTGTTACATGAAATGCTAATATAATAATGCATGCAATTATATATATATATATATATATATATATATAAGTTATATTTGTAGGTATAGTTTATTTATTTGTAAAAATTTGTGTAATTGTTTTCAAATATAATTGGAACTAAGTTCCTCATCGGACGGTACGAATTTGGCGGATGGGGCTAGGCGACATAAAGTGTAAGATTTATCCGTCACGACTCCTTCTGACGTAGTGTAGACTGCAGTGGCGGCCATAAGGAAGCGAGATGGAATAATATCCATCTCCCTCGCACATTTTCTTATCTTGCCATGAAAAAAAATATTATTTTATTTAAATGACGCTTTATTTTAATAGACGCTAGTAATTAATTTATTTGTATTTGTTAATCAATAATATAATACGTTTACCAATAATAATATATTACGAAAGGAACTTCGTTCTAACCGAGTGTTCCAAGACACTCTCGCATGTCTTTTTTATTTAGTTTTTTACTCTATATTGCTACACCTACGTCAAATCCTCACCATTCCATGCTCCAAGAGTTGACTAGCTTGCTACCTATTTATTTATCTATGGAGTTGACTGGTAGAGAATCCTAAGGGTATTAGTGTTCTGTGTAGAGAATGCCCCATGACATGACATTTAGTCCGCCGTTTGTATTCTTTTATAATAAGGAACGCAATAAAGAATAAGTAAATAAATATATAATTATTTTAGAATTATAATTATAATTTACGTGGGTACTTAACTAAGGTTGATTGTATCGATTGATTCACTTAACCTACTTGCGAGTGATTTCCCAGCGAGGCGGAGATGACTCCATGTTGCTTGGCCTCCTTGGATAAAAGCAGTAAGGCGTTTCGGGCTCCGCGTTCTTTGAAACTATATGTAAATAAAGAAAATTACAAAAATTATATATACTTAATATCGCTTTTTATTTTTTAATTATATAAAATGTAGGCTATGTAATGCTAGGCGAATTTTGCGGTGTAATTAAATGTACTTAAATTAATTATGTGCTTGTATAACGATTATTTAATATGTACATAGTAATAAAATTGTGTAAAGTTATTAATTTTTTTATAGGATATGGGTTTTTATAACACAGTCCACCTGATGGTAAGTGATTGCTGTGGCCCTGAAACATCTATTTTCATTTGCGATTCAAAATTCAGATGCGTTGTCAGCCGTGAGGACTAAGATGAAAAGCCTCTTTTGCAATAAACAGGGTCTCATATTCTCTACACTCACCATACGAAACACAGCAGTGTTAATGTTAAGCTGGTATTCTGTGAGAGCGTGGTCCTACCCCGGTCGAGCCGACCATTCGTGCTACAAATACGTATACAATTAATATATTTGCAGCATGGCTCTACCACGTTTAGACTTCCTTCAAATCTGTAACCTCATTAATACGCAACATAGAAAACAAGAGAATAAAAGGATGAGATACAAAACAAAGGTACAAAGACATGTATTTAAATATTACTATCGCATATTTTTTTAATATGGTTGTATATGATAAGATCAACTTATTACATTTAACTTCGTCTCTATATATATTTATCTCAGGACTACACTTAGGACTAGAGTGACATCATGGCAGCTGAACTGAGTAAATAACGCAAAAATGAGCCCCTCGAAGATAACTAAGTTGTATATATTTGTACTATTAATTTAACGGTCCAAGAGGTCCACGTGCTGTGGGGAAATTAGGTGATAAAAGGACTGGTTTCGACTAAAGGCTAAATAAATCCATTCAGCGAGGAAACGCAGGCAGCGTTTTTGGCACTATCTATACTATTGAAATTGAATATTATTATAGTATAACTTTCAAATAAATGTACGATACGCGCGCTGCCTATTGTAAGTTAATTGTACCTATCCCTATAACCTAGCACCTACGCAAGTGCAAGCAATAAGTTGACAAAGTTTTACGGAAATCTGATGAATGGTATGGCAGTGCATAAAATACGAACAAACAAATATAAATTTTTATATATTAGATAATATATAAATAAATTAATATTTAGATATTAAAGAAACACGATTTCTATAAAATCACCAAACGAAAATGAAGTCGTTGGATTAGCAATTTTTATATGTTAGAAAATGTAAATCAAATTTATAACTGAAGTATGAAAAACTAACTATTAATAAAAATGCAATAATTCAAAAAAAATTAAAACCATTCCTTTAGCTGTGTGATGGCGACGTAACAGAATCTATCACCTTATTTCGTCGTGTGTGTGATGGATGGGAGGTGACGATGATGGATGAGATATACCATGATAAATAACCATCTAGTTATAACCAAAGCGGTGACAGGCAGCTGCGTCTTGTGGTGCTTCGTTTGACAATCCGCTTGCCGCGGCAATTATGGCAAATCCAGAGAGGATAGCGGGCAAGGACTTTTACGGGTCGCTAAAGAAGATGAAGAAGACACCAGTTTTAAATATCATCGAATCTGGTTCAAATTTATATGGGGCCACTGTGTGGTATATTCAACCGGAGAATTAAAAAAAAATTGGGTTAGTTCAGTTCGAAGATATCGGTAACATTAAAATAGTAGGTACTTATTATGTACTTGAAGTCCGTTAGAAAGATGAATTCATTTGTATGCTTACTGGCATACTCGTATTACATTATAATTACATTACTTACTTCATGATTGCTTTGATAATTTATTAAAAGTGTTGTTAGTTAAATAGCACTGTATTTACCTTCCTGTGTGCTGAAGAAAATCATTTTTCAGATATATATCCATACCGTAAAAAGAAGACATGTGAGATTTCTGAAAATTAAGAAATTTCAGTCCTTCAATAATTTTATTTAAACAGAAAAAGCATTCAAATTTTTAAATAAGTAACAAGTATTTTGAAATAAATAAATAAAGGATAACTTACCACACATGGCGTTTTTACAATCCCACTCTGAATTCTAAAGGCAGCAGCTGAAACATCCTCGAAGGAGATCTTTTGAGGATTTTCTTTGTCGCACATAGGATCAAACTCGACCGTCTGAAACACCATATTTTCTTATCTCGGAAAATGTTACCGCATTATGTACCATTCGAGATTCTCTTACAACGGTTTTTAGCCGTGTCGAATTGAGGACTGAACACGCAACTAATTAGTCTGCGCGAAGTAATAAAATATAGGGTTAAAAGGTGATAATATGTACACGCGTATCTACAAAACTTCTGTTTATGGGAGGTCATTCAGATAAACCTAAGCAGCAGACACTTTGCACATAAAATAACTTTAGTTGTTATTCTACACGATAAATAAATAAACAAATATCATGAACAATTAATTTTTCCTTACTGATTGATTATTCTTGTACGTTTCCATTTCTTCTGTGTTAAATATACTTCACAATTTATAAATTACATAAAATATCGCCGACTTATCACACCAATGTCCATGCAAGTACTGAAGGGTACGATGGTATTTACGTAGCTTTTATCAGAACTTGGTTCTTGGAATTACTACTTTCTTGCATTTAGACGCACATTCTAATTTGTTAGGTCATTAGTCATTACTAGCATTTTACTGTAAAGTAATTTTTTCATTCATTTGTCCATTACAGCCTATCAAAAGTACACTGCAGAACATAGGCCTCCCCCATAGTAAGCATCAAGGGTATAGGTACTTGCATATTTGCCACGTTTGGCAGGGTTGGCAACCACATTTTGCTTTAACAATTTGTTATCAGGAAGATGCTGCTTCCTATCTTCTGTTTCTGTTTTCCTCTGTTTTTTTTATAGAATAAGGATGACGAACGAGCACACAGTCCACCTGATGGTAAGTGGTTGCTGCGGCCCATAGACATCTACATCTATCTTCGTTTGCGAATTAAAATACAGATGCGTTGTCAGCCGTGAGGACTAAGATAGAATGCCTCTTTTCCAGTAAAAAGGGTCTCCGGTTCTCTACAGTCTAAACTCACCATACGAAACACAGCAGCATTAAGCTGCTATTTTACGCTGGTATTCTGTGAGAGCGTGGTCCGTCCCCGGTCGAGCCGACCCATTCGTGCTACAACTATACTATTAATATAGCTGCAGCATGGCTCTACCACGTATAAAATCTCTCTGTGGCCTCATAAGCCACCCACGGGATTTTCTAAAGTATGTACATTATAATAATGTGATGTTGGCAACGTTACATCTTTTTCTTTTACAAGCCTGTAGGAGATAAAACTGAGAGGTACCAACTATCAACTGTGTGATTTGTAAATTCTTTAGTGCTGCCTATCTATAATGAGTTTTAGGTATCAAACAAGTGAATGATCATAAATCGTATTTATTATTCTTATCACATCTAATTAACGCCATATTATCAATTAAGTTAATTAGCTGTTAATTCACAAAACATTATAAATTATGGATGTTTTGTTTTAATAGATATTTGTAGCAAGCTGGAATGCGTGCATGTGTGTGTGAATGCGTTTTATAACAGGTATACCTACATAATTTTTATAAAACTTTAATATACATGTAAGTATATGCACTGTATCTACGATTATAATACATAGGTATGTACTGGGGTAACACAAGAATTTTTTAGAACTGGCCATTATAACAACACAACAAAAACAATATTTAAATTTGGATGAAAAAATTTTAATGTGAAAATTGAAATTGTTTGGCATTTTTAAACGTAGTGAGTTATATTCTCTTTAGATATATTATTGGCGGATATGGGAAGTATTTGAAACGAGTTAAGATCAATAATTCATCGTGAAATAATTTTTGTTTTAATTACTTACTAATTACAGACATGTATTTAATCGAGTACTGTGCGCGATCGAACCGGGTTGCTCGCGTAATGTTCAATCCTCGCCGGCACCAATTAAATGGTTAGTTGCAATTTTAAGTGGTGATTTACCACGTGCTCAGCGGTGAAGGAAAACATCGTGAGGAAACCTGCAAAAAAATATTTAGAAGACATGTGAAGTTCGTTAACACGCATTGGGGCAGCGCGGCGGACACTTCCTTGCCCTAACAGAAATAAGAGGAGGCCTGTGCCCAGTAGCGGGACGTATACAGGCTGTAACTTTAACTTTTTTTTTAAATGTATATAATCAAAGGTTTCGACATCTCTCATCGCCTCGTGGTAAATTAAGAGCTGCTCTAATTCTCCTACGCTCTTGTGTGCGTAGGGGTTTTTGCGGGCTTACGCTTTCGTGCGGGTTCACTCAGGACATGATTTACCCACAGGCTAAATAGACTGGAGCCTAAGGCGCAACCACAGAGAGGGCACTGAGCTTACCTTTGCAAGCACCACTTATTACAGAAGAAAAATTGGTATAATATTCTCGATAAATAATTAAGTAAGTGCCGTAAGCATTTTACATTTACATTTAAGTACAAACAAAAAAAAATATTGTATAAATAACACTTTATTGTATTATATATATATTATTTGGTACCCTTCGTCTTTCGTTGACTGACTCTCTTCTCTACCTCTAATTTTATTAAGGGGTTTTGCCAAGGCTGTCCAAGAGAACTTCTTCTCCAAAATAATGAAATCCATTAAAAGCTGCCAGCAAATAAGGTACCTTAAGGTCCACCAGCTGATTAGTGACCGCTAATGCGCCACTAATCAGCTGAATCTAGTTCTAACCTTCTAATTAGAGTCCAAGAAGGTGGTCTTGGTCGTTATTTTGGACATAGCGAAGGCCTTCAATGGACTCCGACACAAAACGCTTCTTTATACGCTTCCTTCCTATGGGCTTACCGAGAAATTGTGCAGTTGGATCACCAGTTTTCTTGCAGACTGGAGCATCAAGATCGTAGTATACGTTACATACTGCGATTTCGACGAGCATATTAATGCTAGTATTCTACAAGATTGCGTGTTCGGCCTCGCATGGAATGCTGATGTCATTTCTGAGCCGGGACACCCCAGTGCGAGCTCCTTCTACTTGGTTGTATCCAGCGCATAACGGTTCGAATCGTTAAAGACCGAGTTCTTTCTGATAGGCTCGATTCACTGGCGCTGTGTAGAGTTGTTGCATCCCATTGCATTTTTATCGCATTTGGGAGTATTTAGACAAATTGTTCGGATTAATTCCAGTCGCCAAATTCAACCAACGCACATTGTTTGTTGTGTACAACTAACAGTACGATACCATCAGTATATTTGGCGGTCCACCATAACTGTACGATATGGAGTTTTCTTCCTCGCAATACTTCTTTATGGAATCATCTACCACCGGGGATTTTTCTGGATCGATACGACTTAGAGCCCTTCAAGAAACGAGCTTACTCCTTTTAAAAAAGGCTGGCAATGCACCTGCAATCATAAATTTATGATAATAAAATATATTCTAAGTCTATGGCTGCAATTTCCCTTGTGTTGCAGTTGTTCATGGGCGATGGTCGACAGTTACTATCAGGAAAATTTGATTTAATGTGGGCGAAACCGCGAAGCGGAAACCTAGTAAAACATAAAAATCTTGTAAATATATTCGTGGGCTGGGCAGGCAAAGACAGAACAAGCCGAGGGAGGAGTGCATATTCATAGTTAGCCTACGGCTGCCGGAACTCTAAATCAGGCACTGAATCAAATACCAGCGGAAGTTATAAGCTATAACGCTTATAGTTGTTTCTGAATTCAGAATCCGTACTCACAACGCCACAATGTCCAAAATATATTAATTTAACAGTTTTTGAAATAAACACTTTTTTAGGATTGTTGTGTATTTAAATTTGATGAAACGAAAAAGCGACACTAAAAAAAGACAAACATGTACAGCTATAGGGTTTAGTCTGCGAGAGAATGAAATAAAATACAGTATACAGTTTCTTATTATCTCGGTCTTTTCCTTGTGCGGTGATTTATATAACTTTATGATTAAGCGTCAGTAGCCTAATGGCAGGGCGCGGACCGCGAACTCTAAAGGTCGTGGGTTCGAATCCGCCATTCGACTACTGTCGTGAACCACTTATAACACAAGCATTTTAAGCTTACCAGAAGTGGTTAAAGGGAATATTAGTAATGTTTAATAATATTACAAGTATTTAAAAAAAATGTAACTTTTAGCTGTAAAAATCATTTATGATAAAAAATAACAAATTTATTAAATAAATAGAATTATCATAACCAATCCATTCATGGAAATTTTACACTATTTCACAGGATTTTACAAAATTATTCTACGTGGTAGAGCCATGCTGCAGCTATATTATGGTTGTAGCACGAATGGGTCGGCTCGACCGGGGAAGGAACACGCTCTCACAGAAAACCAGCGTAAAATAGCAGCTTAACGCTGCTGTGTTTCGTATGGTGAGTGTAGAGAACCGGAGACCCTTTTTACTGGCAAAGAGGCATTCCATCTTAGTCCTCACGGATGACAACGCATCTGCATCTTGAGTCTTTATTGAGGATAGATGTAGATGTTTATGGGTCACAGTAACCACTTACCATCAGGTGGACTGTGTGCTCGTTTGTCACCCGATCCTATAAAAAAAAAAGATTTCAACTTACCGATTTATATTAAATGAATCGTGTTTAAGCCATAAGTGTCTATTGTAGGTACGTACCACCTGGAGTGTTGGCGACGCGGTGCAATGTGCCCTAAAATGATTGTTTTTTATAGAAGAGAATCAAACGATCATGCGGCTCACCTGATGGTAAGTAACTACTGCCGCCTATGAACAACCGCAACACTAGGGAAATTGCAAGTGCGTTGCCGGCCTTTTATAAAGGAGTAAGCTATTTTCTTAAAGGTCCCTAAGTCGTATCGATTCGGAAAAATCGCCGGTGGTAAACAATTCTACAGAGAGGTTGTACGAGGAAGAAAACTCTTAGTAAAATGCACAGTGGTGGACCACCAAGCATCCAGATGGTGTGGATGGTATCGTGAGTTTTGACGCGATGTGCGTTCGTGAAATTTGGCAACTGAAATTAATCCGAACAATTCCTCAGAGCACTCCCCATGATAGATGCGATAAAAAATGCAAAGGGATGCAACATCTCTTCGCAGCGCCAGTGGGTTGAGCCGATCAGAAAGAAGAAAGAAGGTCGTCGACTATTCGAGCCGCTATGCGCTGGATGCGGTCAAGTGGAAGGAGCTGACACTGGGGAAGAGCGGCCGAGAGATGTTAACAGCATGCTAAGTTTTTTAAAGGATATTTTGGCCTTCTCTTCCAAGTGACAATGAAACTGCACATTACTCGATATGTCGACGCCGAGGATTCCTATGCCAGTTAAGGCAGCAAGGGGAGTGCCTTAAAACTGAGAAGACACGACAAATGGGTACTTTTAGCAGTAAACGCGCAAACTTGTGTCTTCTGAGGATTGAACTGGACTAGATTTAGTCGCCCTCAATCCGATACTTTGTA